CATTTAAAAAAAAAAAAAAAAGAAACTTAAATAGCCTCTAAACCCAAACTTATCATAAGTCTAATAGCGGGATCAGAGAAGAGGACAGAGCTTTAAATTAGCAGCAAATTACTGAATGTGAGTAAGAAATATTTATTTTACAGAGCGCTGACATAAATACATCGCTAATTTTGAGGTTCAGAGCTTGTGCTTGCCCCCCCTCCTTCCTTCTCTCTGATATAATTCATTTTGGGGTCCTAACTAAAAGGTGAAGAAACACTCCTCAGTTTTAAATAATACTGTGTTGTTAATTGACTGTTGTTTTCTCTGAATATCTTCCATGTTCTTACCAGGTTTAACGACTGCCCAGAGTTTTTCAAAAGTTACCATTCTGGAGGCCTAGTGAGGAGACACAACCGTCCCAGCAAACAGGGCACCTGACCAAGCATCCTCTCTGCTTGCCCTGTCTCATGCCTACCAAGCTAGCCCTTCAGTTCCAGAGATGTCAAGAGCTCCATCCCAGTTTTGAGACTTCCAGTGCTTACTCTCCAAGGAACTTCAGGTGTCTGGACAATATTTAATACAAAGTGTTCAATCCCAGCCACATGTTGCTGTCACCTGGGGAGTTTTTGAAAATCCAAATGCTCCTACTCCACACTCCCAGGAATCCTGACTTCACTGGTCTGGTCTGGGGTCCCACACCTATATTTTTTTAAGGCTCTCATGTGATTCTCAGGTATGCTGCCAGGGTAGAGAACCAGAGTCCTCTTTCACACATTAGAACTCAGAAAACATTCCCCTGGATTTCAATACCAACATCCACATGGCCGGACCAAATCCAGCCTTCTGGTTTCCATACCAGATTGACTGGAGCACACCAGTCATTAGCCAGTGGCATTGTTTTTTATTTATCTTTTTATTGGTGCGTTACAGTGGTGCAAGTGGCGGGCTATGCCACTACATAGTAGTTCATGAACACAATGTAACAACATAATTTGACCAATATCCCTCCCCATTGCTTCCCCCTCCCTCCATCTCTCCCACACCCTGGTCTCTGTCTTCTATTCTGATCGTCCTTCAGTGGTGTTGTGTTTAAAACTGCTATTTTCTCCTCTGTCTCGCCTACCTTGAAGGGCAGGACTGATGTCTCCACAGGTCCGTCTTGAAGGACCCCACTGGCCCACCAGGGTTCTGATAACAGTGTTCAGGAGCTCTGCTTGCTCTGCAAACTTATCCCCAATCTGAGCATGATGGGAATGAATTCTGAAAGAGCTAGAGAATGCTCTGGTGAGAAGACAAAGTGCCTGCAACGCTCAGCCACATGAGTACACATTTTGATTGGGTGAATACCTGCTGTTTGGGATAAGTGTCCCCCAAGGCTTATTTGGGGGTACACTTATAGACACTTAAAGATGGTTTCCCCATCCCATAGGACTCTAGAAATATTGTGGGAGCTTCAACAGTTGGCCATGGGGAGAATGCCATTGAATTCACACCAAGCCCTGAGTTGAACTGCCTTCCTCCGCCATGTTCTGCAGCTTTGCCTTCACAGACTCAAAGCAGCAAGACTATTGCTCATGGACTAAACCCTCCAAAACTGTGAGCCAAAATAAACCCTTTTTCTTTTTAAGTTGAGTTCTCTTAATTATTTATTACATTAACAGAAAGCTGACTTACATGACCACCAGCTTAGCATAGAGAATGAATTAAATACCAGTTACTCCATGTCTCTCTGAATCTACACTGTCAAATGATGACTTCTTTGCATCATTACTGACTAGTGCCTCATTTTTTTCATCTAGAAATGGAAGAAATAATCAAACCTATCTAATATGGAGTGCTAACTGATGAAAACCATATATACAGTCCTTAGAGAAATGCCTGGCACATAGCGATTTTTCAGCAAATACTGGCTGCTATTATTACTATAATAATTACTATGACTACTATCATTGTTATTGGAAAACAAGATCTGGTTCTACATTTTTGAAACTGATCTGCTGAAGCTTTACCTGCTGTGACACTTCAAGAAGGATACACTGGCCCCTCAGGTATGTTCAGAAACTGGTCTAGAGGAGTGGTGGACATTTTCCCAAGTGTTGAAGTCTTTGGCTGCAAGGAATGTGGCGCTTCATGCCTGGTGCAAGTTGCATTGCACCTATTATCTTTTGCCTTTTCTGAACTTGCTTTAGTGCTGCACTGATTGACGACGTTATTCAGAAATGCCATCTTTGTCCCATATGCTAATTTTCTCTATCCAGCTCAATAAGGCAATACAGAGCTAATAATCTTTTTCAGTCCCATATCATCTTTAGTCCCATTATCCTCAATTATCCTCTCAGATACTCTGAGATCTTCTTTTGAGAGATCTCAGGGATGGATATTTCCCAAATGGCAACCTTACAAAGCAGTGTCTCCCACAGGGAACATAAAGCTTGTCAACCTGGCATTTTCTTCCCCCAGTGAGATCTGCCAAGATCCATGGGCGCCATCCAGCCTGTGGAGACTGTGGGCCTCTTGCCAGCTCAGGGAGGGTGCCATCCAGCACTGGCAACATGTCTGCCTTAGTATGTACTAATAGAACATTTTAGATACATTCATTTCCACGTTCCATCTATACTCAGTTTTATTTATGTTCTAAGGCACATTTACTTGGAAATCAGTTTTGTTACGGTCCACATGGTTTGGAGATTTTATTCTTAAGAGAATCTAAATGGAAGCTAAATGGAAGCCTTTCCTTTTGCTGACAAAGTTGGTCTTCCATACCTGTGAGCTCCACACCAATGAATTCAACCAATTCCAGATCAAAAGTGCTAAAACAACAAATCTCATCCATACTAAACATATTCAGACTTCTTTACTTGTCATTTTCCCTGAACAATACAGTAGAGTCATATACAATGTTTATATTGTATTCGGTATCATAAATAATCTAGAGATGATTTAAAGTGTTCAGGAGGATGTGCATAGGTTAAATGCAAATACTGTCCTGTTTTCTATAAGAAACTTGAGCATCCACAGATTTTTGGCATGTATGTAGGGTGGGAGTGGTGGTCCTGGAAACAATCACCCATAGCTACCAAGAGATAACTATCTATTCTATGATTGTAATTTTTGAATGTATCAATTTAAGATATACAGCAGTAGTATTTACAAGATCCCCAAAATGTAAGGACTTAGACAACTTTTGATAATTTGCAAGATGCCCCTCATTATATTTCTGCTAAAGTGGTTATTCTTACACAATATTTGCCAGAGTAATTGACAATGAAAAATCACATCCTGCTGGCTCTACATTAGATTTATACTGTGGCTTTAACTATAACATATGTGTTACAATATGGATCAGAAATCTGAAGCGGACCACTGATTTCATGTCTGCTGTTTAAGAATTTTGAAAAGTCAGCTAACGGATGTGTATTCACTGATGTGTATGGTGTATGGGAAGATACTTCCCAACTGGATTGTAGACTTTGAGGACATGGACAAGATTTCATTTATAAGGTAGATCACAAAGCAAAATGTTGATTTCAAATGAATTGTATTGTATTTATGTTTCCAACACATACACACAAACACGCACACGC